AGTGACTAGCTTGAAGAGGAAATTTCCGGAGTGCTAATGAGAAGTTGTGACCAGTGGAGTTTAAATATAGTGGGTATAAGACAGCGATCCGCCGTGACAATCAATAGGGGTTGTGCGATATTATCATTTTATGAGAATTCGATATTTATACAGTTGGATGCACGATCAGTGATCTAGGAGAGAGACAGAAGGCCCTAGATTCGGTTTCTTGTGTCGCGTTGGATGGTCGCCACTACAGAAGATCTATACTAGGACGAAATAGGAGCCCGATACTTCCTGGATTTTACTGGTTCTCTGACTTAGATCTGTTTCAATAAAATTCAACAATCTCCACGACTACATACTAACAATGATATCTCAGTTGGTATTTCCTTTAATTCAGTGAATTATTATTGAGACAATTACGGTTTCCTAGCACTGATATTACCTCTAACTTTGTCGTTAAATTGTTGAAAACAATTGCGTTATCATTGTTTGAGAAATTTCTGAAATATATGATTCCGCGATCAATTCAACGATGTTACTCTTGCTGTATAGCAACTACTTTTCTTCCACAAAATTGATTGAAATAAAGGTATCTGATGTTCCAAATAAAAAATCAGGAGGCCAGTCATGGTCCGAGTAGACAATGGAATTACCTCAAACTGCAAGACCAGGTGACACATGTTCGATTCCAAAATGAAGTAACAATTCCCTAAAGAGATATATCTAGTTGATGAGTTCAGACTAGCACATAATCCAAATCCAGCATGATTGCATATCGACTATACTCGATCTCCTGATAAATAACAATTCATATTAGTTCTTAGATTTTGTTTCAAGGTCATTAAAATTCAGAATAACTAATCCAAAATTCATCCAAAAAACAGTTTTGTTTTAATCTCATATTGAGAAGCGATCTCAATAACTATAAAACCAAATCCTTTTTTTATCAAACAAATTCCTTGAATTCCACAAACCTCCCTACCACATACACTTCAAATTTATCAGTTCTAAAATAAACTCCTACTAAAAATAACAAACCAGTAAGGATATTTCCAATGTTTAATATGATTAATTAATTTTCACTATTAATTATATTTTATTATAACTGATTTTAGTTACTATACATCAACTGATATTTAATTTCAATGGTTGAGATCATGAGTCAGTTGAGGCTAGACCACCATGGAAAACCTGGAAGCACTGGACGGCCGTTCCATTCTATTGTGAAACTCCTCAGCATTTTATTATGAATCACTAATTGGATGATTACAAGTTTACATTGAAAATTACCATCATTCTTTTCATAAACAGTTCTTTTATATTAATTAGTTATTGTATATAATTACTGATGATTACAATAGAATGTAATTGGTTAATAAACAAACAATCATTTTAAATTAATTAATTAAATTACTTTTTATTTAGATCAATTTAATTTTAGTGATCATATCTTGTTGAGTATCAATGTTAAAATGATCTCAATCAAAAGCTTAATCATCTCCACAACCCCTATACTAGTAATTACCATGTGTTCACTAGCAACTAGCTTCGTGAGGGAATTCTCGGAGTTCTAGTGAGAAGCCGTGACCAGTGGAGCTAATCCATGTCGGGTAGAGACAGGTATCTACCTCAGTACAATGGAAGATGGTAGCGCAATTTCGTGGATTGGTTGAGGTTAGATACTATCACCATTGGATGCTGGCTTAGTGGTCCAGTAGGTTAAGCATTCGCTCGCGAGACCGAAGGCCCTGGGTTCGAATCCCGCGAGCGGGATCGTGGATGCGCACCGCTGGGGAGTTCCACAATAGGACGAAACAACCGTCCAGTGCTTCAAGGTTTCCAAAGGTGATCTAACATCAATCGGTTCATGATCTCAATCAAAAACTTAATAATCTACACAACCCCTATACTAGTATATAAAATGAATAGTTTGATTTTTTGTTTTGTGATTCATGAATAATCGATATATATATATTGAATCAATGCATACCTCGACTATGCTTTAAATTAACCGCTATTTCTACCATGGATACTAGTCTTGTATTAAGACAAATGTTTCTGAAGGTCAACCATGCAATATTGATCAATAAAAGTTTCTGTAAAGAATGCGAATGAATATTGATGTAAATTAATCTTCGTCTTTTTTTTACTTAAAAGAAACATTATCAATTATTACATTTTTTTTTCTCTTAATGTATGGTATATTTAATAAGCTAGTGAAATTGAATTCTTCAAGCATTTCCATAGACTTCTTATTCATTAGTTATTAAATGACAATAAATATATTATACAAAATTTTAATGTTAAATGTTTCTCTATACTCTAAGTATATTAATGGGATTCATAAACTGATATTATCGGATCACTTAAATTATTAATGATAAGGTCACTTAATTCATTACTGTGATTATCAGTGGATTTATAGGGCACGTAAATTTCCACTTTTGCAAACATTGAGAAAGAACAGAAAAGACATAGAGGAGCAGTTACAAATAACGTATTTATTTAGTTTCAAAACATACATAATTGTAACGGTAAACTACAAAACTAGAACTCATTCTAAATAATAAGTCTGAGCAATTACATTATAAGAATATTTCCGATGCAAAGATGAGTGTCACTTTTCTAGCTAATTGGTTGATAACTAAAGACAGTAAAAGATATGAAAAAAAATAAATGCTAGTAAGAAGCCGTGACCAGTGGAGTCTAATCCATGTCGAGTAGAGACAGGTATCCATCTGAGATAATAGATGAAGGGATGTGCAAGATCATGGATCGATTGAAATTAGACATTAACACCGTTGGATGCCAGCTCAGTGGTATAGAGATTAAACTCTCGCATGTGAGGCCGATGATACTGGGTTCAAGTCTCACGTGCGGGATCGTGAATGCGCACTGATGAGGAGTCCTATACTAGAACGAAACGACTGTCCAGTGCTTTTAGGTTTTCAACGGTAGTCTAGCTTAGATCGACTCATGAATTCAACTATTAAGATATTATATCCGTTTAACATCAGACACACTTGATAAACCCCACCATCCACATCTTTTTCTAAACCATTCAATTACACATTATATATCTATATATATATATATATGAATTGTTTTATTGTGGTTTTCAGATTAATGAATTTTAAATCAATTACTTAAAGTTTACACATATTCGACAATAGATGTGAATGTCCGATGTTCAATTATCTATACAATGTAACGGACAAAATAACCTTTCAATCCTCCCTACTATATTTTTTGTTAATTAATCATCACTTTATATGATATAAATCACCCTGAGAAAGTCTATTCAACAATGAAAACAATATAATAGTTGAATACATGAATCCATTGAAGCTACATCACTATGAAAAACCTGGAAGCGCTAGATAGTCGTTTAGAAATAAATAAGATAGATTAAACAATTAATAAACATATTTCTTTAGTCAACAGTTAAAATATACCTAATAGTTATAATAAATGGGAATAAATATTGTATTTCTGTTTTATTAACTAACTAATCAATATTTCCGTTGGTGACCGGCCTATGATCTTTCATTAGGGATAAGAGGCATAAGTAATGAATATTTTAACATTCTTTTAGATTTTGATTTACTATACTAGAATATATTTTGTTAGGGAATTAATAAGATAGGTAAGGAAACTATATTTATGGTAATTTAATTGATATACAGTTTAAAGTGGAAAACTTGAAAAGATAAGGATAATTGTTACATTTTTATTGATACAGTTTCTTTCTAGACAATATTATCACTGATTGAAATCTTGAGTCAAATGAAGCTAGACCACCATGGAAAACCTGGGAGCACTGGACTGCCGTCTCGTTCTAGCATGGGACTGCTCAGCAACGCGTATTCACGATCCCGTACCCCGCGAGGTTCGAGCCCAGGACCTATCAGTCTCGCGCCAGGCGCTTAACCAACTAGACTACTGAGCCGGCATCCGACGGTGCTAATGTCTAACTTCAACCAATCCACGAAGTTGCGCCACCGTACACCATTGTCTTCAGTGAGTTGATATCTCACAACAGACTTCGTTGAACTCCATTGGTAACGGCTTCTCACTAGAACTCCAGGCCGTCCAGTTCTTCCAGGTTTTCATGGTGGTCTAGCTTCAATTGACTGATGATTTCAATTAGTGAAATTTCTAAAATCTCCACAAAACCCCTTCTGATAATATTATGATTATCAAAAGAAATGTTAGATAGAAGTGAACTATTCAAAATTACCCATGAATAATTAACAGCTTGTGTTATGATCTACCTTAAATTTGGATGAATTTTGTCAAAACAACCTACTCAATTAATAATGAGTAATTTTATGATTCATTCAACAGATTTTCATTGAAATTTCTGCTACTATATATAACTCTATGTTAAAGTTGATAAGTTTGATAAATTCCAATGATTAAAACACAAATTAGAATCTTGCCTCATTTATTTCAGTATAAGAAGCTAGAAGACGAGTACACAACCTTGTACCCAAGTTAGTGAGTTACAAGATATTGAAATAAAACTATATTTTTTATAAGGAAATCTTAACTGATATTATTTACAAAACAATGCGTATTTAACGTTTGAAAAATTGTCTTCATCACTATCAGAATCTATGGTGAACAATGTTGATAACTAGATAGTATTAAACAATTATTTAGTCATTGTTTGGTAATTCACTGTAGTATATATACTCATTACTCCATACAATGTAGAATTACTTATCCAAAGTCATTTACTTTCAAATCAATGGCTTAATGATAACTAAAGGTTTTCAAATCCAATGCCTCATGAGATAATGGGTGAATACTATGGAGGTGTCCCTTACTAGGATGAAACAGATACCTTATCCAGGGTTAATTACACTTCAGTAGATTTGTAATTGACGTTAATTTATTATAATAGTATACTTTAAAATAAGCGGATTGTTTTACAATATTACCTCTTAGATAGATGGATCTAACAGTCCAACTTAAACATATAAATAATGTTGAAAACTGTTTACACTTACCGAATTGATTATTTCCATTATTATTGGAATATCGTCATCGTGTTGACATTGAATAACAACACGTCTCATTTCAATAGAAATAGTTCAGGCTAAAACCTTGATTTATTTTCTTCACTTATGTGCGAATAAAATTATCAAATCACTGATTAACCAATAAGGATAAAGATAAACATGACATGTGATTGGTTCATTTGATAGTGTCTGCTATTCAAACCTTTACGTAGGAGACAGTTCCAGAAATCAGTTTGTTTTGTGAATTACATTTAAATCAATAGGCCAATTGAAGAATACACGTCTAGATTTATAAATACAAGGCCACAGTTTTATTGAAGATGAGTTTATCAAAGCATGTAGATTTAGTTTAATTACATTTACACATTCGTTAATGATAATTAGTAACCCAGTATTTCAACATTCTCATATTTTCTAACTGATTGTATGAACAAGAAACAGTTTAGTTTTGTGTATTGAAAGGGAACTAGTGATATTGCACATAGTGACAACTTTTTTTTCAAAAATCACTATTTATTGCGTCATATAAGAAATTAAACAAAAAAGACAACAAAATGAAATAACAGTAACACATTATGAGGGATACGCAGAGAAAACACATTTTAGAAATGATAAAACTATAAGTTAGTGATTGGAGGTAGTCGATAGAAAACTCTGAACCTAGGTCTCGTTTTATTTGGTACTCGCTAGCAAGGTGTGTTATATCCTAGTCAAGATTACATTACGAGTAACGTCTGAGACCTATTAATGGACCAATATTATTTATACATTCTTATGGTATAAATATTCAGTAACTAGATTACGTATACCTATATTCCCCTTATTATAAGCTTTATTTTGACCTATATATTATTATTGCACGATTTACTGTTCTTAAGCCATGTTCAGTTTATTGATTATTGTCTCCCACGTTCACAGTCACTTTTTGGCTTTATTGTGTACAAGGTGTATCTCTAATGTTGATGGGTCTGACGCTACCCGATTAACTCAATCATGTGTTACCTAGTTTTATAATTAGAAATGTGACCACTAGGACTGAGTCGTATTTAAAATTGGTCGATCACTCAGAAGTAAACAATATCATATCTATCATGTCCTTCTTAGTGCTGGTGGGATTCTATCGATCAAGTTGCACTAGTTTTTAAAAAAATTACAGGTACACCTTGCTGATGAGTACTGAATAACACGACACCTAGGTCCAGATTTCCCTACATTTAATCACCATCTCAGCATAGTCCACACGATATCGAGCCACTTTGATTACTGCCTGTATTGAAGCTAGGTCGATAAAATTCACTTAACACTAAGAGGGATCTACGCACATGACATTGGTTGTTATTCAGTCATCAATCAATTGTAAGTAAGAAAAATATTGATAAGCTATCGTCATTTAGTGATGAGAACCAGTTAATACGAAACTCGTTTTTAGGAATTCCCGCTTATCACCTTTAGCCTCCTAAAATCAAAACATATAAAACCAACTAGACTAATGACCACACCATTATTTGATCGACAAAATTCAACATATATTAAAACAACTAAACAAATATGACATGGGATATTATTCAGTGATCAATGTGTTTAGGTGAATATCCGAACATTCATTCACATATACTGCTGCTATCCCTCAGAGACAACGATTATCAAACATGGAGAGCCGTTTAACACCCTCAACTCGGAGAGGCCAGGTTTCACAAGCATAGAGCAAAACTGCTCTCACAAACGCTTTGTAGATCCAACCTTCTGCACTCAGACTGACATCACGAAGACACCAAAGATAGTCCGGATTTGCATAAGCCACTCTGGATCTCACCATACGTCAATTGATCTCATTATCCACGCCACAACCAGCACCTGTGCAGCTACCTAGATACACGAACTTCCAAACTACTTCTATCTGCTCACTACCCGGGGTGAGTGCAGGATCGGGGGTCCTGTCAGTCTTGTAAAGGTACTTTGCACTTCGAAGGTGCAAAGCACATGCTATACCTATGAACATTGATCAAGTGCGGAATGTGTGGATCGAGTATTATCGCACAGTAAGACAATATCATCTGCAAGCTCAAAGTCTTTCTCTAAGCAACAGAACCACGCCACCACTATCTGCATCCATCAGAACTGTTTTCAGAGCATCATCGATGACAAAGTTGAGGAATGGTGAGATTGGGCGACCCTGCTTAACTCCATTGCTTGAAAGAAATTATGGAGAGAGGTGATTGTATGGCCTTACTCGGCCCGAGGTGTTCGCATATAGGTCTTTCAAGATGCTAGTAATCTTGTCAACCACACTCTTCTTCAATGGACAATCCCAGCGAACAGTCCTATCTAACGAACAGAAAGCGGCCCTAATGCCAAACATCATGGTTATTGACCTGTAATAAGTATGACGATGGAGGAGGGAGAAGATATGATCATTGCATCCTATCAGAACGAAAACTAGTCTCTTCCTCGGGAGTCAGTCTTTGCCGGGCTTTGGGCAATCTACGGAGTATGACGGAAGCCAATATTTTGGACCCGATCGGTAGTAGACTTATTCCCTGATAGTTGTTGCAGAAACAACGTGGACCCTTCTTAAAGATAGGGGCAATATCGACCCATTCTACAATGCTAATTACCAGAAGTCTGGAGACGGATCTACCACTTCTTTCACTAGGTTCCCACCACCTTTAAAAAGGACCGGAGGCAAGCCATCTGGGCCTGATGATTTGTGGTGTTTCAAGAGTTGGAGTTCCTTGTGGACTTCCGCCCCGTTATGTGGATCAGTCGTCATCAGCCATCAAGGGCAGGACAGTCCGATCGATGTCACCAGGGTAGCAGACAAGCCGTACTGTTCCTTGTAAAACTCTGGCCATTGAACTAAGCATCTTTAGATGATATTGATTGATATCCCATTAGCTTCACGGATTGTTTCACTTATACCAGACTTTTTGTTGCCAGTGACTCGAATGAGTTGAGCCTCTGACAGTTACCAGAATCAGCTGATGCTCCCAACTCCTTAGCGCGTTCTGACTATCAGGCTTCCCGGTCAACTACGCAACGAAATTGAAATTAAAAGTCGGTTATATGCAGAGTTGAACCCGAAACATGCCTCGACTCATTTCCACACCACATTAGTACAGGGGGATAGAAGTATCTAGGTAAGTCCCAGAGCAGTGGTAACAACAGTATCAGCAATAATAGGAAACATCGTGTAGAAAGAAAAAAAGTAAGGTTTTGAGACTAAGGAACTAAGATAAGGTAATGAATTCATGCACTTGTGGACGAGTCTGAACCATGTCACCCAAGGTCTCTAACCACTGGTTACGACAATCACATGAACCTCAAATAGGTAAACTACAGTTATTAACATGGCTCAAACCAAATGCTAATGACTTCATAGACTGATGCCATATTTTGGGTTGACTGCCTCTAGATTTCTTCCAACCCACTTCTCTACTAGCAAGCATTGGTTGTCAAGGTGGGCGGTAGTTGTGAAAACGTAACGTACCCCAACGACTTTAGTTTATGAAGATTCACTACCATGCCAACTAATTTTCCATCTTGATTAAAAGTAGGAAGTATGTCAGTTAGCTACAACATAGGACCAGGTACATATATGCATCGGTCCAAGTTGCCACACTTCATTAGCACAAAATGAACACCAAGTTCATAGTAGTTACTTCAATGGTAAGAAAGATTGTGTATAACGATATAATACAGGAAGAAAGAATTAGTTCGTAGAAATAAAAGTATAAAGCAGTTTTAATCTCACTACAGATCTACTGGTTGTTATGAGAGATGACTGAAACTAGTGATTTGATGATACACACAGTGTGGTTTGTGACCAATGATAGTCTCTCTTCAATTGTCACCTGATAACATAGTTATCATTATCATAATCGAAGTATAACCTGGCAAAAACGTATGCATTGCCCCAACTTACCATACACACTAGCACAATGGATTGAATGTAAAAGGATGAACAGGAAGAGGGGAGGGATAATGTAGTAACAATAATAATCAGAAAGACTGGGGATTGATAACATGGTTTGGGAAGACAAAATGGGAAGGTATGTATGAAAGAATATTGTAATTCAGGATCTAGAATAAGACAAAGAATGACTGCACGTGCTTCACTGAAACCCACTCCAAGCCATGTCACCTAACGCCTATAATCACCAATTGCGGTTCGTTAGCATCCACTAAACATGGTTCAGATTAATAAACAATGACTTCAGGGACAGATGCCATATGTTCATCTCGCCACCCATAGCTTTCTTCCAACTTACTCCCACACAAACTTAACAAAGCCCGAAACAACATAATACACATAAAGTGAGACATGATTGTTTTTGAAGAGTACCTAGTAACGTTTGAAATATACAGAAAAAATTTCAGGTAAACACACGTTCACAATGATTATCAAAAAAATCTACATCTAAGTGACTAATTTGCTAACAAAACAAATTCTTTGGAAAAAACGGGAGCTTTCTTTATAATTACAAGTGTACGTAAAACTGCAAAAAATTACTGGTGTTTTCTAAATTGATTTTTCATAAATACTCATGAATGGAGCAATAAATACTTGGAAGAACACGTGTCCGACTTCATCTTGAATGTTAGTGTCTATAGTAGTACTAGTAGAACAGCATTTCTGACTAGGAATATACGGCAGTTCATAAGTAACAGTAACGCCATTGAATTGTACATCATTTTCGTGACTAGATGCAGCGTTATCTTTACTTAGCATTGTAGTAGCAGAAGATGGGCCTGTTGAAGAACTACCACTACTGCTACACGTAGTTAAAATACGTAATGATAGTTTCTAGGACAAAAAATAAAACAAATACTTCACGTTATGAAAATAATACACTGTTCAATGTAATAATATACAAATAGTTAAGTAGTTCAGTTCATCTCGTCGTATTAATGTGGTACGACAAGTTGGAACACGGTACATTTGTACCAAGCTCTACGTTGATGACTGACTGAAAATTCAGAACAGTGTAATTCACCACACTTTCATCAGACGATAACTGATCGCTTTATACAGGTGACCGAGTCTTCTCATTCCAGCA